AGGGAGGGAGGGAGGGAGGGAGGGAGGAAATGTGGTAACACGTTTCCCTCCCTCTCAATACGTTTTGCAAGAAAGGAACATACCGGTCTGAGGAAGAAGGTCTACTTCTGGGCTTTGGAACTGGAGGGCTGAGCTCAGGAAATTTACCTATTCCAGAAATGAAGAAGACATACCGTAATTAGGTGTTACTTTCTAAAACCACTTCCAAAATCATTACACTGTGATTATTTTAAAAAGTCTGTTCTTTGCCTTTATGGCTAGGAATGAAGGCTTGGCTATGTATCTATTCAGTATCTTATATTAAAAGAGAGGTTTTTTTCTGGAGGAAGGTGCACATTCTCTTATTTCTGGACTCTGCCATAATTCCTTGGCACATGCTTAAAAACCAGAGACCCTTTGGATGTATAGTACTATCATGCACATCATCCCAACCGGGATGGCCACTGCTGGTAGGGAATGATGGACATTCTGGCCCAACTAATAGGAAAGCACCAAATCAGAGATACCCTAGGAATAACCATTTCTCAATTCCCACAGTTTTTCTATGTATTTCATATATCAAGCTTTCCTAGTCATCATCAGGTTTCCCATCAGGACTTCAGACTACAAAGAAGTATTTAAATAAAATATTATTAAATTGTGGGTGCTAAAATAGGCCAGGTTTCCCTAACCTGTTTCTTCCAAATGTGTTGTATTACAATTCCCATAATCCCAAATCAGAATGACCATACTGAAATGCGTTATACAAAACATGTAAAGACACTAGACTTGGCTGGAGCAAGCAATACAAAATTGAATGAACACTTATCCGCTCTAGCATAAAACAATTTAGAAAAATAAGTGGTAAGGTTCCTTCCTTGTTTTATAAAACACACACATTTTCCTTACTTTGGCATGGCCTCAACATACAGGATTACAAGGAGTCCAGTTAGAAGGTTTAAATTACTTCCTGTGTCCATGTTTCCTTACCATTGACCAAATCAGATGGTGGCTCACTGGAACTCTCATTTTGCATATTGGCTCTGGGCCTTGGGACAGGATATAAATTCAGTGGTGACAGACTGGCTGGGTCTGTGCTCCTCCGAGGGGCAGGGGTAGGTCGAGGCTCTTTGAGCTGCCCATGTTGCAAGCTAACCTTTTCTTGGATAAGTGTTGGTGGCTTGGTTGGTACAGGAGGCTTGGGAGGCAACTGTAAGCAAGAGCCAGAAGTGGAAGTGGGCACTTCATTCTTTGGCCGGATGCAAGGTATCTCAAGCTCTGTGCTTACTTCGCCAACAGTTCTTTCCCCCATTTTGCCCATTTCTTCCATGGCTGATAAGTGACTTTCTGAGATGCCATTCTTTTCTTCCATCTCATTACTCACTGTCCCAGCTTCTGTACTTTCCTTTCCAAGTGGCGGTTCTGGAGTTAGCTGGTGCTCAGTCTTCCCACTCAGTTTGCTCAGCTTACCGCAATGCTGGGTGCACACAAATGTGCCCAATTCAGATCCAGATTTGTAAGATCCAGGAATGAGGGTGCTGGAGCATTCCTTGCATCTGCCGGAGATGTGAATCCATGATCAGAAAGAGAAGATAAAGAGGAAAACGCTCAAGTTCTTGCTTGCCTTTTGATAATAGAAGCCCCCAAAGAAAATAAAATTCAATCCGTGATTTTGCTACAGATTCACTCAGAGACCGGGGGGGGGGGGGGAATCACTTATAATTTTTATCAGTTCCCATCATCCCCACTTTTAAGCAACAAGAGCAAGTGGGTAGTAAAAGTTTTGCCATATACACCAATACATGTAGCACAAGCAAAGGCAGCGTTTTGCTGTTTTCCTTTCCCAACTAAGTTTCATTTTTGTCTATGTCTTTATCCCACTGAAACCTGTAAAAGAAAAAAGTAAGTTGCCTGCTCCTAGGCTACTGTAAATTCAGGTCCCATCCTGGAGGACTATGACATTTTGAATATAGCAGATCCAAAACTGTCACCACCAACAATGTCTACATGAAGACCAAATATCCGGAGTGACAATATTTCTGTTATTAAGCCCGCAATACTTTGTGTGGCTATATTGTAAGCCTCCATCTCATCTTCCCTGGAGAGCTTCTCCTTATTGAACTAGCCCATCCCATCCTAATTTCCTGTATCTGACCTTACTGCTTGTAGAAATTAAAATCCACAATTATTTTCCAACATGAATGGCATAGAAAACTGTTGTTGTTTTTAATTGCATTTACTGTATTGCATTCATGCTTTGCCTTTTCTCCGAGAGTTCAAGATAACTGTATGTTAAGAGAGTTAAGTGGGATGTTTCCCCTAATTTTATCCCCACAACAACAATCTTGTGTGAAGCTATGACACGGCTCCACAGTAAATAGTAAACTCTCTGGTCTAAGTTCAACTCCTTAACCACTGTGCCTGAGGGGTTGAAGTTCTGGGTTTGCAATTCAACAAAACAGTCTCATGAAGCTGGAAATGACACTACTGAATCTCACAGTACTGTAGTTCATATTCCTGTATTAGACAGTACCGAAAAACCAAAATAGGGTTTCTCTTTATTTCTTTCAAAGGTAAAAATTATGGGATCCACTTGAGCCTAGAAACTGGAGGTGATCTTTTAAAAAAACAACAACATGGTAACATAGTAAATTGCAAGGACATCGTGGGCTTGAAAGGACTGAAAAAGGAAAAGATGTTCTAAGTTATCCTGGCACAACTACAGACTTTTTCTACAGGACTACAGACGACAGATCCTTTTTCAGTGGCCTTGGATAGGAAGAGCTCACCTGAAACACTGACGGTGGTAAAGTTTGCCCTCAGCCAAATAGCGCTGAACCAGGTGAACGTGTTGCTGGCAAGCTGCACAAGGGCTGCTAAGGAAAGTGTGCGAGGAATCCTCTGCCAGGCTTTCAGTAACACTGTCCTGAGACAACAAGAATTGAGATGAGAATGTCTCCATCAACTGTGATTTAGAGACTTAAGACTAGGTGGCCTTTCGGTTAAGGATATGAAAGACACACACACACACACACACACACACACACACACACAAAAGATTAGAATAATCTTTTTTTAACCCTTCTCTCAAAGTTGCTAGGTTGATGAAGTTGTAATAAAATAAATAAAATACTTATAAAGTGACTTGATGCCATCTGACAACTGTGACTGACACCTTTAAGAAAACTCTCAAAATGTACTTATTCATCCAAAAGTAGCTATATTGTTCAGAGGTGCAATCGTAGCTGAGCTTTTAGCATTTTGGAATGGATGTTTTACTTTTTGTCATTTTAACATTGAGAGCTGGTGAATATTAAGATTAGTCTGATTTATGCTTTCTTTCTTTGTGTGTGCATCAGTCATCCTGGGACAAGTTTTACCCTAAACACATTATTTTATATTTTAAAAGAAAACAAAATAATTAGGAATATCCTTTTCCCCCCTTCCATCCAATCACATCCAATCCTCAGAGAAGTCACTGTGGTTTTCTTGGTAGAACTGGTTTGCCATTGCCTCCTTGATAGGCATGAGAGAACATGACTGGCATTGTATCTAAGGGAAGGGATTAGAAGTTACAATCTCTCAGTTTCTAGACTGATGCCTTAACCATTACACCAAACTGGCTTTATACACAAACTTTATATCCCACTTTTGGATCCTGTGTGCAACATAATATCTGCTTCTTTATGTACAATTTTCTTCACAACCATAAATCCCTTAAGCATATTTCTAATTCACAGGTGTCATTACATTTCACTCAGTATATATTTCTTTAATAAAAACTTCTGTGCAGAAGTTTAATAAAAACTTCTGGACAGCAAACTATAGAGATGAAGCAATAAAATTAGTAATGTAAATAATTAAAAGGGCTTATTCTTTACAGGCATCAAAGACTTGTTTTTCTTTGGCTTGGTCCTATGAAACTGTTAATACTAAAAGTTTCAGACAAAGAGTTATTGGAGTGGGGGGAGCTTTGGAAGGCACTGCTTCCTGGAGATAGCCAAATCAATGAAGAGTCTTACCTCTAAGGCAATCTTTGATGCAGCTTTTCGTCATGTAACTGATATATGGTTTGAAATACAATAATACAATACAATACAATAGCAGAGTTAGAAAGGACCTTGGAGGTCTTGTAGTCCAACCCTCTGCCTAGGCAGGAAACCTTATACAGTTTCAGACAAATGGCTATCCAACATCTTCTTAAAGACTTCCAGTATTGGGGCATTCACAACTTCTGGGGGCAAGCCGTTCCACTGATTAGTTGTTCTAACTGTCAAGAAATTCCTCCTCAGTTCTAGGTTGCTTCTCTCCTTGATTAGTTTCCACCTATTGCTTCTTGTTCTACCCTCAGGTGCCTTGGAGAATAGTTTGATTCCCTCTTCTTTGTGGCAGCCCCTGAGATATTAGAACATTGCTATCATGTCTCCTCTAGTCCTTCTTTTCATTAAACTAGACATGCCCAGTTCCTGCAACAGTTCCTCATATCTTTTAGCCTCCAGTCCCCTAATCTTTTTTGTTGCTCTTCTCTGTGCTCTTTCTAGAGTCTCCACATCTTTTCTACACTGTGGCAAAATGTACAAACCAAGTTCAACATGGCTACTATTTCTCCCTGGCAAACATTTTTACCCCAGTCCCTGGGACCCTCCCCTCCTCCCCAAAAAATTATCAGTGTTTAATACTTATTTTAATGTAAAATAAATTAAGTGGGATTAGTTTTTGCAAATGCATTCATAACTGAGGCCTGCTAAGTGGCAATTATTGCAACTCAAGTACTGTGGGGCCCTTGGCAACCTGTAGTTGTATAATCCCAGACAAACAATGTAGCATTTATCAAGTTTGTACTGGTGTGTCATACATGGCATGATGCAGGAGGAATGTAAGTATAATCATAAAACCCACAGAAAGACGTTAAGGGATCAACAAAACCCTCAATATGAAAGAAGAGAGAAGAGGATGAGTTGTTAAACCAGGCCCTTCAAATATGCAACAAAATTTCATCTTAATGTATGCCGATTAGTATACATTCAAACTGACAATAAAGTTATTCTAAGCCTAAAAATTGGCCTTTCTTAAAGTCCACGGATTCAGAAGCAAGTGCCTGAAATAGACTGGAGAGACCATGAGAGTTTCCAGTTTGACGAAACTGAATACCTGGGATGTAGATGTAGCTTCAAGTACAGACAAAGGTTTGTCAGTTCGCAGAATCGGTGAGGAGGCTACAGCTGAGTGTTTCACAGGGATGCCGACTCTGGCTGCAAAAATAAAGAGAAAGGGGAAATTAATCTGTGACCCAATAGATAAGTCAGAAAAAATAAGGTATGGAGCAACTTTTCTCTAGTCAGTTAGGCTGATTCCTGGTACCGTTGCATTAGATTGGGGAAGTTGCCTTAAACATCCTATCAATATATCGTGGTATAGCTACAAATTATTTTGCCAGAGGCAAGCATTCCATGTCTTTTGAGGATCCAGAAATACACATCTTTTCTTTTCTAAGTTCTTACTTGTACTTAGTAACGTCCTACAATGCTTTACTTCTTCTGTGCAATGAGAAAAATGGAGTAAATTCTTGGTCTCCTGTAAAAGATCTTGAGTAAAGGAGAGAGCCAGGGTGAAATAAGGAAATAGTCAGAGCACACCTGAGTTACATTACAGGTTCAAGACCAATATTCCATCCAAAACCTTAGGACCAAAGTCCAAAGCAAAGGGGTGACATAATCTTTCTATATTCCATTATTATTTCAGACATATTTGGAAGGAAGACCACAGCCAGCCCTAACATTAAGCAAGGTCATAAAAGGATAGCTAAGGTTTTTGAACATATTACTTATCCTTTTTTACTGCCATAAGTAAGAAGTGTCACTAATGGGATGTTTTGGAGGGGAGGTTAAGTTGGTTATGGTGTTAGTACCCACAGTCCACACAAACACCAAACTCAGAGCTTTTTAAAATGTCATCCTGCTTACTATAGGATGTTTACCATTGGCAAATAACATTATGGATTCCTGGAGAGTCCACAGCCTCTAGCAAGGATTGGGAAACTAGTTCTGCCACATCAAAGGAAATGAAGGAACTCTTCCTCCTCAATATATAATTATCTCTCGAATAAATGACCTGTTGAAGCTCTCACCTTGGGTAGGGTTATTAAAATGGTTGTAATACTGGGACACATATGTCATGATGCTGAGGCAGTCAGGAACTTTCATGGAGACCATATCATTGGGATCCAACAAGGCAGGGATCCCCAGTTCTTGTTCAGCCACTTCAAATGCCTATCAAAGCAACCAGGAGAGAACAGTTAGTTGATGGAAGCTGAAAAAGAGGCAGACTCTAGTGCAGGGAAACTTCAAACTTGGCAATTTTAAGACTTGTGGACTTCAACTCCCAGAATTCCTCAGCCAGTTGATCCCTGCTCTAGTGGAACAACATGAGGTGAAAACAAAGGAAGAGAAAAATGTCAAGACAGATATTTAACAGAAAATATATATATAAGAATGCTGATTTATATTTAATTGAATTAATTTGAATTAATTTTCATTACCCTTAAATTAAATCAAACTTAATTTTGTCCACTACATTAGGAACATTATTCATAGGTAAAATAAGGCTCACAAGCCTGTAAATCATCACTGGTTTATCATCTTAAAAATCACTTCACTATAAGACAGGAGCATCTACTTTGCCTGTTAGTAAGCAAGTACCAAGCCGTACTATTCCAGAATACTCAAAATGGCCTGTTATGAAGTCGAATCTTCCAAGTTAGGATCATAACTTTGTGCAATATTGAGTGTGGCCTATGTTTGAGAGTGGAATGATCTGCATAATCCTAATTCTTATACCATCTTTTGAGTCCCTTCATATCAGAGAATTGTTCATGCATAATATTTCTGTTTCCACATATGTTTGGCTGTAGTCAGAGTGAAACAAACTGACCCATAATTAAAAAGACAATAATGATGTAATAGTTGGTGTATCAGACTATGATTAAGACAACTCAGCTTCAAATTCCTATTTAGCTACAAAGCTTCAAATTCCTATTTAGCTACAAAGCTAATCACATGCCCTGGGGCAAAAAATCAGCTTTCAGCCTGTCTTATTTTGGCATAAATAAAATGGAGACAGCAAATTACAAGCATTGTCTTGTTGGAACACAAAAGCAATAAGTGAAAAGGTAATAAACATAAAACAAACAAACAAAAGTGATGGAAGACAGTGTGTTCTGTTTTTCTATGTATATCTTGTATATCTTGTGGCAGGCCCCTTTGCCTCCTTTGAGTTGTTATACACACCTCTCTTTCCTTTCCAGCATTAAAATTCCTGCCCAATCCCTCGCCAAATGTTGAGTGCACAAAAAATTGCTTTTAGAAAATATTATACAACTAAATACATTTTAATTAAAAAGAAGTGATGGTGGTATCATCCTAATGGACAAATGAAATTACCAAAGCAAAGTATTTGTAGTCATAGGCAATTTACCAGGATCAATGAGTGAAGCAGAAATAAAAGAGATTAATGACGATGCAGATTTGCTTCTTATATAATCCATTACAATAGACAGAAGGTTGGACTGTTGACCAATTCTCAGCTGAACCAAAGTCTAACTGGATGAATCAATCGGTGTTCCTTAATCTAAGAATGCCAAAGCTTAGCTGCTTTTATGCAAAAGTCATAATGGAAAGTATTTGTAATTTATAATTACAGATACTTTTAACCTTTTTCTAAAGCAAAGCACACCACATATTAAGAATAATAGCACTAAACTGTAAACAAACTAGCAAGAAGTGCATTATTTTTAAAAGAACCTAAAAGCAGATGCATATAATCCATCTGTGAAAATGCCTATCATAAAAGAGAATATGTTTCCATCAAGAGCCCATAGATGGACCATTCACACAAAATATTAAGAGACATAAAAACTTGATGCCATAAACTTGGTAATGTGCAAAAACGAACAACACCTTAACTGTGGTCTTTAAAAAGTATGCATCAATATCTATACATTCAAAAAGTGTTAATGTTGTGTCCTTGCTCATTTTCCTCAGATTAAAACCAGCAAAGATTACATCTCTGACTAGTCTATTGCTAGTCAGAACTTTACAATTACGTCAGCACTGTTTTCCTAGTGTAGATTATTATTTACAGTCATCGGATAATTTACACCGGCCACAGAGGCAAAATCTAAGCACATTCTTTCACTGTCAAGACAAGTCCATGATACTGGATTGCACGCTTGCATCTGCCATGTTCGCTGCACAAATATAAAATTTACTACAGTAATATTGTAGGATTAAACACCTTTAGAACAGAAACATGTTACTTTTCAAGAAAGAAAAAATCTAACTCCTGAAGAACCTTGCTAACAAAACAACTGGATTGTGAAGCGATGAGACTTAATTTGGCCTATGTACTAATGGCTTGCCGGAAAACTATAAACATCCTAATCCCTCTTCCTTGATACCAACTTCTAGAAAGGTTGTGATAGTGAAAGTTAGAAATAGGCTTGCATAAGAAATTAAAGAAATTTAAATCAACAAGACTAAGCCAATTTAAGTATTGGTTTTAAACTTCCACCAAATACAGCCAGTTAAGGGCACAAGGTTGGGAAAATGTAAACACTTTTCAAGTTGAGCTTAGCTTTCAAGTGGACTTCATACATATATCCATGTAGCTCTCTTGTTGCCAATATGGAACTATGTTGCCACTGGTTTTTCAACTTCCCAGTCAGGCCATAGCTCTGATATTCCCAAGAAAATTCCCATTCAGGTACTAACCAGCCAATTTCTGAATGAGGACAAAGTCAATCATCTGCCATCACTGCCAGAGATACCATGTTGGAAACGCCTGCACTTAATGAATATTGATAAAAATGTAGAAATACGTAACTTAGAAAGTGAGACATTAAAATGTCTGCTCCCTGCTTTTCACAATTGACACATTATTCTATTTCTCTTGTCCTTATATCTTCAACAAATGTCTTTGCTGCAGTTTTTCCAAACTTGATGATTTCCAGATGCATTGGAATTTACAACTTTAGAACTGGTCAATAGTCATGCTATCCAGACATATGGAGCGTTATAAATCAACACATCTGGATAATGCCCTGTCAGACAAAGCTGAGTTCATTCTAACAAAAAATAGCTTTTTTCATCTGGTTTCTAGTCATCCATACACAGCATGCATGGCACTCATTTGATGTAACTTACTAGCACATGCATTTCAAGTTGATCTATGTCTGATGATTTTCACAGCAGACATATCAACTACAGTTAGAAAAAGAGACTAAAAAGCAAGCATGATGAAGTATGATTGCAATGAAGCCAGAGGCCAGAACTTACCAAACGATTGTTCTCATATACATTTTCTTTGGACAGGGAAGTAAAGTCCCTGCAAATTGAAAAGAAAAGAGACTGTCATAAAAGAAGTACATTAGATTATATAGCTCAGTGTTGCAATATTTCTCAGTAACCACTAGTAAAATTTTCAGAGAACAGAATCTTTGTAGTTCATTCTTTCATATTACAGTTGAACGCCAAAGCTTTAAATTGTGGACTTTTCAACAATACTCTAACATTGAAACAATCCCAATAGAATTGCCTTTTTAAAAAAAGAGATCTAGCATAAAAAGCATTCTGATTAGCAAAGGAACAGCTTTACAGCACTTTCTTTGCAAATTGCCAAAAATATGTCCCAATGGGTTCACCTGAAATGTATGTTCAAAACTATTTTTCCTGGATACACTCCATTTTCTCAATTCCTTTACATAGTTTCCTTGCACGTGTTTCCACTGTGTGAGAAAATCACTGAAAGTGTGAATAGTTATTGAAAATTGTACTGACAGTGAAGCTGAACTCTAGAGAAGCTAAATTCAAGAAAAACAATACAAAGCCGGGACCAGTATATATGCATACATGTATGTATGTATGTATGTATGTATGTATGTATGTATGTATGTATGTATGTATGTATTTAGTGTCACAACCCCTGGTATGCCCAAATATGGGAGGAAGCAGACTGCTTCCATTCTCTGTCTATCGGCTCATCACAAGAGACCATCACGACAGAAACCCAATATTTTTACACACATACACACATACACACATACACACATACAC